TTTTTTTTTTTTTTTATCATTTTAGCACAAATTGATTCTGGAGAATGGTGCTGTGCACAGACTTAAATTCTACATCTTTGCAAAGCCCTGACACTTTAAATTTAAGGTGTATAACAAGTGTTTAACACCATTCATCGCAGAATTACTGTCTGTGCTGATGCTAATTTTAACCAGTCTACATTAAATTTTTTAAGACTTTTTTCAACATATTTAAATCAATCATCTCCTGAGGTTGTGCCAGTCTTGGGTACCATGTCCAAGGTTCTTCAGTTACATCAAAAGTTTCATCAGCATCACAAATAAATACAGTCAACTGGGGAGCATCATTTTTATCAGCACTTTCAAGAGCTGCAATAGAGAAAGCCACAAATGATTTAGCTTTTTCTTGCAACTTGTCCTGTAAGTCCTCAGTCATGTTGTCCACATGTTGTGCAACATATTACCAGTCATATACTGGCAAATGCTTGTCTCTGTTCAGGGCACATGATTTCTGCAGCACTCAACAGACATTATTTTATAAACTCACCATCTGTAAAAGGTTTTGATTCACTGGGGAATTTTCTCATTTAATACATAACTACATTTCATAGAAACATCACTGTTTTATTCCCATTCAAAAGCAAATCATGTTGAAGTTTCAGTCCTTTTTTCAGTTTGTTAAGTCTTTTATCATGCATCTTTTCTGTATATCCATCATGGTTCTTACTATGGTTTGTTTCCTAATGGTGTCTTAGATTATATTCCTTTGACACAGACAGACTTTGTTTGCATCTCAAACAGGTAGGAACATTCTTTACCTCCAAAAAGAAATAAGCTCGCTCTCATTTTTCTTGAAATAAGTGGCTTTCTTGCTCTCACTTTCATTTTCCCACTTTGAAAGAGACAAATGCATAAGAAATATCAAAATGTCATGTTTACTAATAGGAAAAAATACTACTTTGTAAGAAAAAAGTTTTAAGTCTATTTTTTCAAAATCTAAGTGTAATATTCACTCCTTCAGAGTTGGGGAGAACTCTGAGAATGGTAGGGCTTGCAGCAAACCAAGCAAATGCCACAGCTAAGAGGAAGCAGCTGCTTCCCCAGGTGGCTGCCAACACATAGGAAAGCAGCCCAGAGCGGTCAGGTTTTCTGATGTCACAAAAGAAGCTGGAAATCCAGATTTTAGTGTGAAATTTCTTATTTTTAAAAATATTAATAATAAACTCAATTTTCTTTCTGTAAATACTGTATAAGCCACCAGGTCTACTCATCAGATTAGGCAGATTAGGACACTGGTTTGGGGTCTTTGGTTTAAACCTGACAAAAATTCTACTTGAAGGTTCCTCAAAAAGCTCAAAATAGAAATACCGTTTGACCCAGGAATTCCACTTCTAGGAATTTACCCTAAGAATAGAGCAGCCCAGTTTGAAAAAGACAGATGCACCCCTATGTTTATCACAGCACTATTTACAACAGCCAAGAAATGGAAGCAACCTAAGTGTCCATCAGTAGATGAATGGATAAAGAAGATGTGGTACATATACACAATGGAATATTATTCAGCCATAAGAGGAAAACAAATCCTACCATTTGCAACAACATGGATGGAACTAGAGGGTATTATGCTCAGTGAAATAAGCCA